TGGCAAAAAAAAAGTGTGAAAATTTACTCAGTTTAATTATTCATCAGGAAAATAAAATTAACCCCCAATGAAACTCCAACACTCACTTATCAGAATGGCTAACATTTAAAAAAACAAACAATACCAAACGTCAGTGAGGGTGCAGAGCAATTAGAACTTGCATACGTTGCTGATGAGTTACAAATCATTACTAACACTTTGCAAAATCATTTGGCAATATCTATCAAAGTTAAACATGTTTATCCTATGATCAAATATGTCCGCTTCTAGGCATACCCCTAATAAAGATTTGTTCATCTGTTTACTCGAGGTAGAACATGAATGTTCAGAGCAACATCATTCATAACAGCCAAAAAATTGGAAACAGTGCAGATGTCCATTAACGGGAGAATGGATAAGTAAATGGAGGCTCACTAATACAGGAGAGTACCATTCAGCAATAAAAATGAAAAAATGATGGCAGCACACAATAAGTAGGAAATGTAACACTGAGCAAAAGAAGCCAGATGCGAGAGTATGCATTGTATAAAGTTCAGAACCAGGCAAAACCCATCTGTGGTGATGGAAACTAGAGTACTGGATGCCCTTGGGAGATTGTGACAGAGAGAAGGCATGAGGGGGCTTCTGAGGGCTGAGGCTGCTCTGTGTCTTGATCCGTGTGCTGGTTACATGGATGTGTTCACTAATGAAAACTCTTTAACTGCACACTTAGGACTTGGGAACTTTTTGGTGTATGTTTCACTTCAACAAAAAGTTAGCTAGGCGCGGTGGCTCATGCCTGTAATCCCAGCACTTTGGGAAGCGGAAGCAAGAGGATTGCCTGAGCCCAGGGGTTCAAGACCAGCCTGGGCAACTTGGCAAAAACTCATCTCTACAATAAAGAAAAGAAGTTAGCCAGGGGTGGTGGTGCACGTCTGTGGTTCCAGCTACTTGGAAGGCTGAGGTGGAAGGATCGCCTGAGCCTAGCAGGTCGAGGCTGCAGTGTCTGTGAATGTGCCACTGCACTTCACCCTGGGCAACAGAGTGAGACAATTGAAGCCACAAAAAAAAAAGTTTACTAAGCTCAAAACGAAACTAAACTAAAACCTTGTTTGGATAGGCTTGTGAACAAAATGTGAACCCGAAACAGCCAACGAATCCTTCAAGATGGATCCCAGGAGGTTAACTGGGCCTAAAATTGAAATAAAGTCAAGCGACCATTTGCTGACTAGAGATCACACAGATAGTCTGAATTTCCTGAAAACCCCTTCTTATGTTTAACTTGTGTATTTTCGCGGCTCACCTGAACCAACCAATCAGGGTTCAGCTGTATTGAACTGTCAGAACTTAGCTGCTGGCCGGCGGGCACAGTGGTTCATGTGTGTAATTCCAGCACTTTGGGAGGCTAAGGGGATAGGATTGCCTGAGCCCAAGGGTTCAAGACCAACCTAAGCAATTTGGTAAGATCCTGTCTCTACAATAAGTCAAAAAATTAGCTGGGCATGGTAGCACATGCCTGTAGTTCCAGCTACTTGGAAGGCTGAGGCAGAAGGATGGCCTGAGTTCAGCAGGTCAAGGCTGCAGTAGCCGTGACTGTGTCACTGCACCCCAGCCTGGGTGACAGAGTGACTCTAAACAAACAAACAAACAAAACCTCAACTGCACCAGCCAATTTGAATTCAGCAAGTATGAAGCTTCATTTGCATAAACGGACCTGATTGGGAACCTTGGTTGGAACTCTATAAAAGTCAAGTCCTTCCTTTTTCACCAAAGGCTGAGTCTCCCCAGTTGGCAAACCGTTTCTCCTTCTCAGAGAAATTCTGTTCACAGGCTTGATAAGGTGATGGTGGTCACATGAACACACAGACACTACATGGTTAACTATACTCTACTAGAGAGGAAGAACAAAAGAGGGAAGGAAAGCAAAGGGGGAGGGGTGACCAAGATTAAGGGTAATTTGCACTTGAAAAAGGCCAAACTTTTTTTTTTTGAGTTGGAGTCTCACTCTGTCCCCCAGACTGGAGGGCAGTGGCCGCTCCCAGCCACCGCAGCCTGGACCCGCTGGGCTCCGGCGATCCTTCCGCCTCAGCCTTCCGAGTAGCTGGAACTACAGGCATGTGCTACCACGCCCGGCTCATTTTTTGATTTATTGTGGAGATGAGGGCTCACCAAGTTGCCCAGGCGGGTCTCGAACCCACGGGCCTCGACCTCCCAAAGTGCGCGGGATTACAGGCCGAGCCACCGAGCCTGGCTAGGGCCAAACTCTTAAATCAAAGGCACTACATTCTTCTTTTAACCATTCTTTCTTTTATCCCACTATCCTGCTGCCTGGAAGTTCCTTACCCTTAGGAACAAGTTCCCATTCATTTTTGTATCTCCCAGTTCCCCTCTCCGCATCCACACAGTGGGAAGGGCGCAATAAACAGCCTTAGAAACCTGTTGCTGAGAATTCACACATGACAGAAGAGGTCAAAGGCAATGAAGATCCAACATTAATTGAACAGGTCACTAGGTCGTTTAAAATCAGAGTTTTGCCAGGCTCGGTGGCTCAGCCTGTCATCCCACGCCTTTGGGAGGCTGAGGCGAGTGGATGGCCTGAGCC